AAAAAAGACAAAGCTCATGGTTTTCGGAAGTAGACACAAATTAGCGGACCTAAATGAGTTTAGCCTATCCCTACTTGGGAAAAATATATTCCCTTCCGAAACAGTGAAAGATCTAGGAGTTACTCTTGACCCTCTCCTTTCTTATGACGAACACATAACTAAGACGATCTCTTCGTGTATGTCCCGCCTCGGTCAGATAAATCGTGTTAAGCATGTACTGGACAGGCAAACACTTATCACTGTAATAAACGCTCTTGTCTTCAGCAAGTTATTTTACTGTTCGAATGTTTGGGCCAATACAACTGGCAAAAACATAAACAAATTACAATCTGTACAGAACTTTGCCTGTCGTATCGTTAGCGGAGCACGAAAGTATGATCATGTTACACCACTTTTAAAAGAATTAAGATGGCTTCCTGTGGCAACTCAGTTGTACTATCGTAGCGCCACTATGGCTTTTAAGTGCATGACGGGCTGTGTCCCAGCTTATATTTCATCCCAATTTATAAAGCGTCAGGAAGTATCTAACCATCATACTAGGAATTCACAACAACTTAATATTCCGTTATTTAAAACGGCAACAGGTCAACGGACATTTTATTACAAGATTGTTAGTCTATGGAATTCTTTAGACTCTTCTTTAAAACTTTGTGAATCAGTTGATTCTTTTAAACGTCGTTTGAAGACGAAGTTATTGCACGAGTTTTTGAGCAACTAGGTTCTTACGCATATAGCATAGGCTTGTAATTGTATTATTAATATTATATAGTTATTATAAATTAGTTATTCTGCATGTAATTAGGTAATTGTCTTTGAAAAGCCTCTATGGAGAAAGATAATAAAGTATCAATCAATCAATCAATCAATCAATCATACGAGTGATGTTTGGAAATTTTGCCAAAATTGGACGAGCAACTGGGGCGAGTCCAATTTGGCAAATTTCCAAACATCACGAGTACTATTAATCCCTAATTGTACGAGCAACGTCGCATGATTACTTGATTCCTATTAGCATAACAAAATTGGATATGTACTTCTCAATGTCAACATCATATTCTCTCGCCAAAGCCTAGTCCTGCCAGACTTTCAACCAAAATTTGGTGCTTTTGTTCGTATTTTCATTTAGTTCTTTTGATAAAGCAAATTTGGTGGTTTTGTTTGTATTTTCATCTAGTTCCTCTACGGCAATTCCAATCTACGCTTGTGTTTAAAATAGGTTTCCGCCATTTTGTTTGTTTTGGGAAAATCATTAATGAAATAATTGTACCACTCTCAAACAATCAGCATCCAGTAACTTTGTCATGCTAATAATAAATATTGTTATAACGTACTGGGATAAAATGAATGATTTAAATTTGGCTCAGATAGTATTGCTCAAGAAACATACAAGATAAAGGAATACTTATTTTGTTTTTTTGCAGTGCACCTTTATGTTTTATATGTAGCGTCAACCATGCTTTTGCCATTGAAATTCGCGCTAAATTCGTTCCATCGCAGTCTGAACAGAGTAATGACATTGAGAGAATACAAAAGCGAGCGCTAAGAATAATCCTCCCTGGTATGAGCTACGATAATGCATTACGCCAGTCCAATTTGAAAACCCTAAAGGAACGTATTAAGAGATGTTATGTATGTTGACATGATTAAGAAAATGTCAACCCCCGGCCATAAACTTCACCATCTTCTCCCAATAAAGGTTTCTCAATTAAGAGAGAGGAAATGAGGACAAAGGGCTTAGAATATTATAATTATGCGTGTAGAACTAAACGATTTAGTTAGAGTCCTATCATTTATGCAATAAATAAGTACCGATTTAACTCTTTACAATTCGTAGCTTAGCTAACTCTTAGTTTCGAAGCTCTCCCGGTGTGGATGTACACTCAAGCATCATATTCATGTAACATCACAAGCATCATATTCACCTGAGTACACAACACCAACACAGGAAAAAATCATATTACTAGATTACATTGGTATGGAAGGAACTAGATTTTGTTCCGAAATATCACTTACACGAACCGTCCTGGCCGCATAACTCAGTTGGCAGAGCATTGGACTTGTATTCCAAAGGTCGTAGGTTCGATTCCCACCGTCGCCAGGCATATTTTTCAAGCTCGCCTGCATTGGTGTGGATGTACTCTCTGAGTAACATCATGCACAAGCATTATATATATTATATATATTATATATATATATATATATATATATATATATATATATATATATATATATATATATATATATATATATATATATATATATATATATATATACACACGTAATACTCATAATGTCATGTAATATCATGTAATCCACACGCCCCTCGTGGAAATCAGGGTATGGTTGGCGGGCTCAACGTGTATCTTTTAATTAAATAAAGTTTTACAATTTTACCTACCTACCTATATACCTACCTACCTACACCAGATTCAGATCAAATTCGCGTACAAGTTGGATTGCACTCCGTCATGCCCAACTGTGCCAATTCAGAAATTGGTTTGGTCCATAATTCATAGTCCATTGCATACATTATTTATTCTTTCTATACTGCACGCCCTACACATTGCCCACTTAATAACAACTGCGGGTATACGAAAAGTACTGTGTATAACAGTCTCTGCATAACATGTAGCTACATGTAATACTGTGTGACAGCTGTTTCGTTTCATTGAACGCTTCATTATACATATTTTTGCAATGTTTCAGTAACGTATGGTCTACATGTATTGTACCGAATTGGAGTTGGCTGAATCTATGAAGTTCTTGATTTGAAAGTAGTATATAATACATAAAACGTGTAAAAAGAAATATTATGTACATCGAATAATTGTTTCAGTTCCAATTTCAATGCTATACAGTCAACGCAAAGATGATAAATGTTATATAAGTTATTAACAAACTCATTAATAATTCAGGAGCAAAACACAAAGAAAAATCGTAAGCGTGTCATGGTTTTATATGTGATAAAAAATCATGTTAATTTACATAACCTTTAGCTTTGATTTTTTCGGTTTACACAAAGTTTATTTTAAAAATTACTTCGCTAATGTACTCATCAGAAGATGGGTCGTTTTTTAAGCTATTTAAAGCACTCGTAGTCGTGTTATTATCACATATAAAACACTGCTATACGCGTCGTGTTTTATATGTGACAAAACACTCCTACTTGTGCTTTAAATAGTACTTATTCACAGTACTAGTTACTGAAATATACACTAGCTTTTGTAATAGTTTGCTTTATATAGAATACTGGATGAATAGAACCTCCTCAGGCAATGGCGTGAATGCTAATTGTAGCGGTTCACCCAAATTATTCGTGTGCCCTGTTTTTGCGCGATATGTCTTGGGACCAGAGAAAGGGTTTGCGCAAACGCTATCAGTGACTCGTTGACTCATTTAGCTGCTGTTTAATTGTCTAACATGTAAAATGGAATTGACTGCACACAATATGTGAAGAAAAATACCTGTGGATACTTACTATTATTGCTTGTGGTTAATTAAAGATGGCCGTCGCCAGGCGCACCGTTTCACGGTAAAGAGAGAAGGTTTATTTCCCAACCATAGAATTAATCATGATGGACCAAACTTTGTATGCAGTTTGTTGTAAGCAAATGCATTAATGTTATATGATTGCCTTCATTTGTTGTCGGTTCCATACACAACTTTTTTTAAGTTATCAATTTTTCTAGCAACATGGCATTTTTGTAACCTTAGTGAATTTTCATAAAATTTATTATAAAAGATAAACGGATGCCTCTACGACATTGAAACTTTGATGAATATTAAGACTTGTTGTGGTCTTTTTAACCTATGAATTATGGGAAGTTTCATCAAAATGAAACTGGTAAAATTGATGTTCACACAAAATTCATATCGTACAAAAATCCCACCTGAAGCTGAATGACACATGTATAGTAAACTGACTTGAAAATTTTATCGCCGCCAAACCAAGAGAACGAGTGGTGGTGGCAGTGAAGGGAATGTATAGAAAAGTCCTAAACAGCCCGTATTTTTATGTTTCGAGTCGAAACCGGGATGTTTTTCGACCGCTAGAACGTAAGCAACGTGTGTGGCAATTTTGTAACCTTGTAACTACATAAACAAATAGTGTTCGTAATGCATTTACTGATAAGCCTTAAAACTTGGCATGGAATGAAAGGGGACGTAAGCCTTTATTTTGAAATAAATCACAATTTATTGCACATAGGTGGAAGAAAAATATTGAGAAGGGTACAAAATGTTACCAAAGTGCCATACTTTGCCTCTATAGAGAGAGAGAGAGAGAGAGAGAGAGAGAGAGAGAGAGAGAGAGAGAGAGAGAGAGAGAGAGAGAGAGAGAGAGAGAGAGAGAGAGAGAGAGAGACACACACACACACACACACACACACACACACACACACACACACACACACACACACACACAACTACCACACAAAAATTTGGTAGCGCAGTAGATATCAAGCTACTGCATTTACTTTTCTTCTTTGCCTTGCTTTAATTCACCTCTCAGATCAATAACTGCAGCTTGCTTTTGCTTCTCTTTTAAAGGTTCGATTCTATAACAAAACATTTTTTACATATGCTACATTTCTATTTTATTTTTTGAATTTTGTTATCACGGGAAATAAGTTTCTTGTTATATACCAAGTTTCAAATTAAAACAATTTTTCACTTTAAATTTAAAAAAACTGTGGAAAATAGTCTGCCGGGTTTTTTAACTTAAAGCGACAAAACTGGCCTTTGGCTTTGGTCTCTCTTCATATGCTATTACTGGCTCATTACTATGTTGCACGCTGCAGTGGTAACATCATAGGAACGCAACAACGTATTAAACTAGTAAACACTATGTTTTGTACACAATATAATTGAGCTTTGAAACATGATAAATAACAAGTTTTTTATCTGCTGTGTGCTTATTGGGTTCGCGCAGTTACAAGGAACAGTTTACTTCAAAACCTTCGATTCGCGTATAAATCTAAATTTACCGTTTTTCCAATTCAAATGTTTGTTCTTCTGCACTCTTGGAAAGTAACTGCTGTAGCTGATTCATTATTTCTGAAGCTGTCGGTCGGTCATCAGGATTAAAAATGAGACATTTTTTCATCACCGCGATAACTGGAGCCCAACTGCTTTCCTGTTGCAGGGCATACTTTTTAGATTGAGTTGGATATTTCTGTTGCTGCAAGATACGAGGTAGTTGCTTTTTTAAAGGAGCATCCTTCTTAAGATCAAGCTGGAATGGATATTTAAGGTTCGGATTTACCAAATTAAATAAAACCATTCCAAATGCCCACATGTCAACTTTTTGAAGACTGTCGAAATTAGCAGCTTTTGAACGACACGACTCGATTTGTAATTCGGGTGCCATGTAAACTGAGGTGCCCCTATAAAATGATAAAATGCAATAAATAGATAATTACTATAGCATTTACTGAATTTAGCAGAAAAGTAATCACTATACAGTACTTAAGTAATTTCATAGGCCGAATTAGAACGATTAAGCCTGCCGCACACGAGAGCCACCTGCTGAGCTAACAGTCACTCGTGCCTATTGGCGTAAGCAAGTTCTTCCCGTGTGCGGCGAAATTTTGAAGAGTTTCGTCACGCGTGCCAAAAATTTCCCAAAATTTTGCCGCACACGGGGCATTTTGATTACGCAAATGGCCACGAGTGACTGCCAGCTTAGCTAATAGCTCTGGTGTGCGGCAGTGCGAATTAGCACAAAATTTATGGACTCACAATATGCACATAGAAATTTATATACTGAAACAATTAGTCGCCTCAGTGATTAAAAGCTTTTATTAATTATATGGCTGAGATAAATGCCGCATGCTGATTGGTTGATGACCGGTCTAGAAAAGTCATCTTGCCCTCTCAAGAAATTCATCTTGCCCGCTCGTGAAAACATTGTACAAATCAAATTTTTAAGGAAACTAAAACTTATTATGCAGTACTGTGACGACGAAGAAAACTCCAGAGTAAGTTTTACTGTCCTGGAAATGCTACGTTTCAAGGTTTGGTGGAAAACGCGGATTGCGGATAACAAAGTGCCCATTGTGGATAATAAATTGCCGATAACAAATTGCGGATAATAAATTGCGGATAACAAATTGGGGATAATAAATTGTGGATAATAAATTGCGGAAAACAGTTATTAGAATTTTCAAATGATTATTAGGAGAATATTAAATGAAAAAATGGTTATAATTACTCATTATTTTATTTGTTTGTTGTCGTTCTCACTCTTAAAGTTATACCCTTAAAGCCCAAACAAACACCCGTGTCAAGACAAGTTTTCCTTTTATAAACTGTATTTATTAATATTATTCAATATTAATATATGATTGCAGTTGATTATGTGCGAAAAAATAATGATCACAACGATGTTCTCCTAATATAAATTATTTGAAAATTCTAATAACTGTTATCGGCAATTTGTTATTCGCAATTTATTATCCGCAATTTAGTATCCGCAATTTATTATCCGCAATTCGCAATTTGTTATCCGCAATCCGCGTTTTCCACGTACCAAACCACGTTTCAAAACAACTGTTCGGAAAATGTTGCAAACATTGTTTTTGGCTTTGTTTTGCATGGAACGTTTGTTGTTTCTCAAAAAAAAAGTTGATACATTATATTTTTGAAGATTACATTTTTTCTTTGATTAATTTTTATTGTTTTGTTATCAGCAAGCGCACTGCCAGTATTGTCCGGCTGAAAGATTCAGCAGCGAAAGTGTTTTCTGTTTTTTTCTACAAAGTCAGAACAAATTGCGATCCAACAAAGGCATATAATAAATCCCTTATTACCTCGTTTGCTCGGTCTGTATGGGAAAGCATTGCGAAAAACCTAAGGCACTATTTTCCCGTACAGACCTCGCACTCGGTTAATAACTCCATAATATTCACCTCGCCGGTTCGCAGCATAGTGAGTGAATATGAACTTAAATATGTGACACCTTGAACATGAGCTTGTAATCAGCGACTATACTATTGTTAAATATTAGTGCAAGTACAGGGAATAAATATTATCTATAGTTTTCTAAATGAAAAATACTAAACAAAACAGTGAGAACTGATTTTAAACACGGAAAAATTGCCAGGGAAAAATTTTATTACACGGATAAATTGCCAATGTGATGCGTAAAACAACAAAATGACTTTCGAAATAACAGCCGTGCCGTGTATTAAAATTTGTCACATTTATATTCACAACAAAATACTTAGCTACAGATAGTTCAGAAAAAGCGTACCTGTCAATATTCTTGGTTTTCGAGTGAAGTACAGCTGCTGTTTGAATCAGATGAGACCTACTTTCTCCGAAATCTGCCAGTTTGCAAATAACAGGTCTTTCCGAAAACACTTTATATCGATGCTGTTCGTCTGCTAAATTGCAGTAATGTTGGTTACTGACCAAAATATTTTTAGCTTTCAGATCGCGATGTGCGACTCCCTTCGAATATAGATACTCCAGTCCTTTGGAAATCTGGTAGCCCATCTTTAGAATTAGGTCATTTTCAAAATATGTAAAAGCGTCTATTTTATCGATGTAGTTAAGGAATTCGACTAAATTGCTTAGTTGTTTCGAAATCTCAAAAAGTGAGAAATCAAAGAATAAGTATTCCATTAATATTGCGCATGGAGAAGATGAAAAGCTTTTAAACCCGACAATGTTTTCATGCTTGAGTGAATACATTAGCCGTGCCTCCTTGATAAAACAACTTTCCTCCTCAGCTGATTCGCCTATCAGTTTTTTGGCCACAACTAACACTTTTTGATGTAATGCTTTATACACAACACCGTACGAGCCATAGCCAATCTGCTCCTTGGCCTCTAAACTCCCAAAATCGAATGATGGTAAATCTTCACAGATTCTTCTCTTTGAAGAAGCCTTTTTCAAGCTTGGTATTTTAAACATTGTTTGGACAGCGCGAGAATACCACAGCGTCGTAGCGAAAGACAACTACAAGTGCAACATTTTACACGTGGGTGCGATTTTTTCAGCAACCTTTTGCGGGTTGTGGATGGCGACGTTGTTGACTCGGACTGGCGGACCTGCGGACTGGCGGACTCGCGTTTTTCCCCCAAATTTTTCGATTAACGCTTTTTGTTGAGCAACAGGCGTGTTTTACGTGAATTACGCGTCATAAAATACTTGGGAGCTTAAGATCTACAACGCGAATTTACGACGCGGACGTCGCATTAAACAAGTTTTATTTTAAAACGATGGCAAATACCGTTAAAATATTTTTATGTATATTACTATCCACAATAAATCTTTATCATAAGGTATACAGTTTATGCTTATTGCTCAAAATATTTATTATTGTTGACTATTTCTCACAAGCACTTCGCACTGTCCGGCTTGAGATCTCTCAGTATTGATAACAGAAGCCTTTGGACGTATCTGAGGGGTTCTTAAATCAATGAGAATCATGAATGGAATATTTACCTTAAAATTAGAATAAAAATCTTTTTATTATATAGATACTGAGTTTTTCGAATAGATGCATTATTTTATTGATATTTCCTTTTTATCGATTATTGCAGTCTAGTTTTGGAAAATTACAGTAATTACTTGCATGACAAGATGCAAAAAAATGCAAAATAGAGCGGCAAGAATAATTACTAGCAAATCATATGAAATACGAACAAGTCAATTGCTAAAAGAGCTTAATTGGCAAACACTTGAGGAAAGAAGGGAGAGCGGGAGATTCACATTCATGTTTAATGTTAAAAATCAGGAGGCACCAGAAAATATGGCTAATTTGTTTAGATTCTCTAATAATGAAAAATATGATCTTAGAAATAACGGAATTAATGGTCCGTATTTTCCCCTATCCGGACCGGTTTCCCGTAGGTCAATTTGACAGCCTCGAATTTGAAACGTTTTTACACGTTTATAAGGTCGTTACGTGAAGAAAAAGTATCCTTAGATCATTTTTAAGAATACGAAGTCTTGGAAATATTAATAAGTACTTGTACCAACACAAATTTCATCGAAAAAGCTACGAAAACAAGCCGTTTGAACTCTTACAAGCAACCGTATTAAGTTTTGGCGGGAAAATTTTTTGATTTGTTTACTTGTTTCAAAAAATAAATAAAGATGAATTTACCGTCTTTAATACCATATTCTAAACAAATATCATATAAACTGGGTTTATAAGCATTTTTTCTGGGGGTGGGGGTACCGAAAAAGTAGTTCTAAAGCGATTGTTAAATTAAACATGCTTTTCCGTAAACAATATTCGGTGACGAAACCAATTCTAAACGAAGAAAACTAGCAAATAAAACATAGCTCAAAAATACCTTCATTTTACCGCTCAAACAAATATATGAAAATCAGAAAATGTGTTTAAGGAGCCATATAATAAATGGTTTATTAACCTCGTTTTGCTCGGTCTGTACGGGAAAGTATTTGCCTTCGGTTTGTCCGCACAGACCTCGCTCCTTCGTCGCTCGGTCTGTACGAAAACCTCAGGCAAATACTTTCCCGTACAGACCTCGCTCTCGGTTAATAACCCTTTATTATATTTTAGATGTAATTTTTATTAAACTTTGTAAATATTAGTTTAAACGGTCTCTTGAAAAACAGATCATAGGTGTTCTGAAGAGCTACCGTTTTAAAATAATAATAATAAAGTGATATTTCCTTTCCTGTTCATTAATACTGATAAATTTGTATTTTCCGATGTATTTTTGTACGACACGACTTTGTTTATCTGATTGTCTCGCTTTATGAAACATATAAACCTTTATATTTTTCGCTGTGTAATATAAATAAACTCTGTATCGTCTACGAAGTAAACAAATTTTGCACTCGCTCGTTCGTTTAATTTGCGAAAACAAATTAACGCGTGCGTAAATACCACACGTAAGTATTTCCCATGAAAAAATCTCTATATACTATCCGTTATCCGGTTATCCGGTTATCCGATTATCCGGTTATCCGGTTATCCGATTATCCGGTTATCCGATTATCCGGTTATCCGGTTATCCGGTTATCCGATTATCCGGTTATCCGGTTATCCAGTTATCCGATTATCCGGTTATCCGGTTATCCGGTTATCCGCTACCCGGGTTTTCTACCATGCCACACGTAAGTATTTCCCATGAAAAAATCTCTATATACTATCCGTTATCCGGTTATCCGGTTATCCGGTTATCCGATTATCCGGTTATTCGGTTATCCGGTTATCCGATTATCCGGTTATCCGATTATCCGGTTATCCGATTATCCGGTTATCCGATTATCCGGTTATCCGGTTATCCGGTTATCCGATTATCCGGTTATCCGGTTATCCAGTTATCCGATTATCCGGTTATCCGGTTATCCGGTTATCCGCTACCCGGGTTTTCTACCATGCCACACGTAAGTATTTCCCATGAAAAAATCTCTATATACTATCCGTTATCCGGTTATCCGGTTATCCGGTTATCCGATTATCCGGTTATCCGATTATCCGGTTATCCGATTATCCGGTTATCCGATTATCCGGTTATCCGGTTATCCGCTACCCGGGTTTTCTACCATGTCACACGTAAGTATTTCCCATGAAAAAATCTCTTTATACTATCCGTTATCCGGTTATCCGATTATCCGGTTGTCCGATTATCCGGTTATCCGGTTATCCGATTATCCGGTTATTCGATTATCCGGTTATCCGGTTATCCCGTTATCCGCTACCCGGGTTTTCTACCATGCCACACGTAAGTATTTCCCATGAAAAATCTCTTCATACTATCCGTTATCCGGTTATCCGATTATCCGGTTATCCGGTTATCCGATTATCAGGTTATCCGATTATCCTGTTGTCCGGTTATCCACTTATCCGATTATCCGGTTATCCGGTTATCCGGTTATCCAGTTATCCGATTATCCGATTATCCGGTTATCAGGTTATCCGGTTATCCGGTTATCCGATTATCCGGTTATCCGATTATCCGGTTATCCGGTTATCCGCTACCCGGGTTTTCTACCATGCCACACGTAAGTATTTCCCATGAAAAAATCTCTATATACTATCCGTTATCCGGTTATCTGGTTATCCGGTTATCCGGTTATCTGGTTATCCGGTTATCCGATTATCCGGTTATCCGATTATCCGGTTATCCGATTATCCGGTTATCCGGTTATCCGGTTATCCGGTTATCTGATTATCCGGTTATCCGGTTATCCGATTATCCGGTTATCCGGTTATCCGGTTATCCGCTAGCCGGGTTTTCTACCATGCCACACGTAAGTATTTCCCATGAAAAAATCTCTTTATACTATCCGTTATCCGGTTATCCGGTTATCCGATTATCCGGTTATCCGATTATCCGGTTATCCGAATATCCGGTTATCCGGTTATCCGGTTTCCGGTTATCCGCTACCCGGGTTTTCTACCATGCCACACGTAAGTATTTCCCATGAAAAAATCTCTTTATACTATCCGTTATCCGGTTATCCGATTATCCGGTTATCCGATTATCCGGTTATCCGGTTATCCGATTATCCGGTTATCTGATTATCCTGTTATCCGGTTATCCGATTATCCGGTTATCCGGTTATCCGATTATCCGGTTATCCGGTTATCCGATTATCCGGTTAACCCGGTTATCCGAATATCCGGTTATCCGGTTTCCGGTTATCCGCTACCCGGGTTTTCTACCATGCCACACGTAAGTATTTCCCATGAAAAAATCTCTATATACTATCCGATTATCCGGTTATCCGGTTATCCGCTACCCGGGTTTTCTACTATGCCATGGGGAATCGATTGCCGAGGGTTTTTAGACCGTGGGGTGAAAAGAACCCGGCGAATTTAGGCTCCGAATATTGCCGACGGATTTACGACGCGTCACGAATGCACGTGCATTTCCGAATATGCCCATAAAATGTGTTGTTTGTGGGCTATCTTTAAAATAGGGAACGGGAATGGGGGAATACGGGAATGGGGGAATACGGAAATGGGGGAATGCGGGAATACGG